CCGATGAGGGGCTCGATCCCAGGACCCTGGGATCATGACCTGAGCCGAAGGCAGACGCTTAACGACTGAGCCACCCAGGCGCCCCCAATCTTGCCATTTGTGACAGCATGGATGGACCTAGAGGATATTACGGTAAGTAAAATAAGTCAGATAGAGAAAGACAAATACCATAGGATTTCACTTTATGTGGAATCTAACAAACAAAACAAATGAAGAAACCAACCAAAAAGCAGACTCTTTAAATATAGACAGCAAACTGGTAGCTGCCAGAAGGAAGGAGGATGGAGAATGGGTGAAATAGATAAAATGATTTAATAGATACAAATTACCACTTATAAATCATGGAGATGAGAAGTAGAGCATAGGGAATATAGCCAGTACATTGTAATAATGTTGTATGGTGACAGATGGGGACTATGCTTATGAGGGTGAGCACAGAGTAATGCATGGAACTATGGCATAAATGTTGTACACCTGAAACATCATAGGTTAATTATACTTCAATTAAAAAAGAAATTGAAGGAAGATCAGAGTCAGGGATTGGTCAAAGATTGGAGCAGAATGAAGAAGTTTTGAAATAACTACTTGGCAGGAAAAGAGAGAGAATGGGAGTGATCGAGGACATACAGGAACCCAGTTGAAGTCTCTGAAATAGTAGTGACAAAAATCTGTACTCCCAAAACATCCAACAGACCAGCCTCCGGTTCAAAGAAAACCAACACACAACACATTTCCCCGGGCTGGGATGACAGAAGGATAACTGTTGGCTCACAAACTGGCCCGCACACAGGGAAGGCAGAATGAAACGGCAGAAACAGGTCACCCCAGATTGGTAGGCGGCAGGTTTAACATGCAAGGGGACTTACGTACAAGGCTTGGTTTCTGCAACCACAAGACGAACAGAGTCTCATGCCCACCAGCCACAATCGTCAGTTTATATAGAGGCCTTAACAAGGTTCAGCCACCTCCAAATGGGCTCAACGACAGATTGCTCTCTCAAGTGTGGCGTCCTTGAAAACGGCTTCAGCTGTAGGAAGCGTGGAAAGCGTGGGCAGAACGTGCATTCCAAGGTGGGGGGGTAGTGAAGGAGCCTCCAAATGCCTGGGTCCAGCTTGCTGGTCAAGCAGAGGTCACGGCCCTTCGATGACCTCCTTCAACAACAACAGAGCAAGAGAAGGGAGACTCTTATAAGAGTGAAGTTAAAATAGAGACTCTCAGAACCTAAAATCAATAAAGGAAGAAAAGGCTATTAAATGGGGAGAAAGTGGGCGCCTGGGTGGCTCAGTTGGTTAAGCGTCTGCCTTCGGCTCAGGTCATGATCCTGGAGTCCCGGGATCGAGTCCCGCATCGGGCTCCCTGCTCGG